CATAAATTTACTAAGTAGTAGCAATGGCACTGCACAGGCTCTACCACCGCAAGCGTCACGTGAGCTGGAAAAACTGCGACGTGAGTTAATGGTAAGTGTTGGACTATTAAAATAAATTTATTAACTACAGTAATTCATGCTCGCTTATTTATTTAGTACCGTAACCAATTGACACTACAGCAAGATGCACGTTTACATTTGCAAAGGGAGGCGCTACAACAACGCCAAGCTGAGCTACGCTCAGTGGATCAGCGTATCTATGAATTGCAAACACGATTACAACGTAAAAAAGCCGCCAACATACAAATTGTGACACAAAACCAAAATCAACTTCACGTGCAGCCGCATCTATTACAACAACAGCAGCAGCAACAGCAGACGCAATTGCAACAACAGCAACAGACAAATACACAAAATCTGCATCAACAACTGCAACAGCAACAGCAGCAGACAACATCCTATAACGCAGATCCAATTAGTTTTCAGAATAACGTTGAAAAACAAGGTGTGGCTGCACTGAAACAGCAGTTACTACAAAAGCAAACGGGGAATCACATTACCGACGCAACAACCCACGGACATACGCAGTTGCATACAAATAAATTTTCAAATATAATTAATCGTGAACAGAACCGTAATATTCCACGTGGCAACGTAGCCGCTGTAGAACCTTATATACACACGCCACAGAAATCGACAATATCATCCACTTCCAGCTATTTGAGTGGAGGAAACATACTTAAGCATTCAGCAGCCACAGCTAACACAAACCTACAAAATCAACTCATACAAGACTTAACGCACGTGAAGCTCAATCTAACGCACAGCAACTCACACAACAATGCTCCAAACTCTAACTTCTTTAGTGGGGAGAGCGATGAAACCAAGTTGGCCAAAAAAATGCTAACAGCAACAATAACTCCAAAATCAGCTGACTCCCCGAAACAGCTCGAAATAGATACTTCACATCATATATATGCGGAAATCGGACCGAAAAAGCGTGATCTTGTTAAGGACACAACAACTGCAACAACAACTGGAACAACAACAACAGCAGCAGCAACAAATCTAGAAACACAAACGACTACTACAACCGTTACTCAAACAAGCAAAATACCTAAAAGTATTGTTTCAACAACATCGGCTTCGGCTATGATAAGCAAACTGAATGCTGCAGCCAACAATCAGTTAGCATCAACTGCAACAACAACTCAGTTGAAGAAGAAGCGTGAAAATGAGAAGAAATCAGATGTCGCTGTTACCAGCGAGACGCTCTCCGAAAAAAATACCCAACAGTTAACAGTGCACAGCATGCCATTGGATGCAGCTAAAAGTGGCATAGCCACTGCACCTGCAATAGTTACAAGTGCCGAAAGTTTGCTGACAAAACCCAAACCAATTTCTGTGCTCTCAACTGGCAACTTAGCGGTACCACCGCGCAAACCTATAAGCAGTGTTGCGCCATCTTCAGTTAGTAGTTCCATACCGAAAATTATTGCATTCAGTCCTAAGGTGAATCGCGTAGCACCAAATGTTATAGCGCCAACTTCTGCAGTCTGCAATGCAAATGACCGTCCTGCTTTGCCACCAAAACCAAGTAAAATGTCTCCAACGGAGTCCACAACTGAAGCTACAGTAACCACGATTGCAAGTAACTCCACCGCAATAGCTAAACCAGCAGCAACAATGGAACCACATGGTACATTGAATATGCAAGCACTGAATATAAATGATAATTTACCTATAAAAGCTAAGCCACTGACAATACGCAAACAGCCCATGTCTGAGCAACCTCGGTTAAAATTGTCGAATGTAGGTCCAAAGCCCTTACCGCAACCGGCACGTAAAATTGATATACCAACCACTACAGCGTTATTATATAGTGAGAACAATAAGAGTATAGTTTCAAAAGAATGCAATGATACACATATCAATACCGCTGAACAAGTTCAACGGTATTCACCGGATGCACAAAATTCTCCTAATACTACCACAACGCAATCAAATTCTAGTGTTGATGAAACTGACAAAACTAACAATAGCCCCACATCTTCAGATAAATCGTTGGACAGTTTGAAAAGACGAATGCGTGCAAGCTCCACACCTGCCGCAGGTGGCAAACCTAAATTGACACGTCGTGTTAGTTTCGATCCTTTAGCTCTACTTTTGGATGCAAGTCTGGAAGGTGAACTAGAATTAGTTAAAAAGACAGCAATGCAGGTAACGAATCCCAGCGCTGCTAATGATGAGGGTATCACAGCACTTCACAACGCCATATGTGCCGGACACTTTGACATTGTCAAGTAAGTTTTTTATACCGGGAAAAGTTTTAGTTAACTTAACAATTTTTTCTTTGATATAGATTTTTGGTAGAATTTGGTTGCGATGTCAATGCTCAAGATTCAGATGGTTGGACA